ATATATATATATATATGAAAAACTAATAATGTTCTTCAAGAATGCAATGACGTTCTGGTGACTCTTATCCATATACTGGAGCCTCGACTTTTACTCCAGTATAACTTACATTGTCAACAAGTAGTCAGGATAATTGATAAGAACTCATTTAACATTTCATCCTAATGGTATTTCACTTCTATTTGCCATAATTTAAACTTCTACCAGAGTCAAACCCACGTATATGGAAAGCTGTAAAGAAAAACTCAGACATTCCTTGGAAATACACTTCATAAAAAGACTAAATACCAGAAAGAGGAGACCATCTGAGCAGCAAGGTTCAGTGGATTTAGAGATACCAGTTTGGTAAAATGAGCAGAGGGTTCATGAAAACAATGCTTTATAAAGTCACTGGATAGAAATAACACAAAATGCTTGTTTCGCCTTGAGCAAACTCTAATCACACTTCTCAGTGAGAGCTCATCAGAAACACTGAGGATAATGAACTGACCTAATTCACTCCCTCACAGCCACGTTCCAACAGACTCCTCTGACTCAGACTGTAACTTGAGGCCAAGCAACACTTCCACGCCTGCTTTTCTTAGTAGAAATGTCACGCCGCCTACCCATGATGGTGGCCTGCCAGCCGCCGCGATCTAATGCCCGTCGCTCGTCTCCGAGGCCCGAGAAGCTCCCAAAGGAGAAGGTGCTGCGGGTGGGCGAGACGTCCAGGTGGTCCTCGTGCAGCAGGAAAGGCACCCCCATGCGACGCTGACGCTTCTTTCCCGTGTGATGAAAGGGGATGGAGCCTTTCCTCTCCCGGTCCTCACGTCGGTTCTTAAACTGAAACAGGAACAGGAAAACATCGTCCAAGCTGACATCGGTACAACGCTTTAGCTTTTTTTACCATGAAGACACCAACCTTCTTGAAGATGTTCATGCCCAGGTCAGAGGAGAGGTCGGGGACCGCCTGGCGACGCAAGTTAGTTAGAGACACCTTTGCAAATGTTTCCGTGCTCAGAGACTTTCCCTCTTCGTTGCACTTCAAGCTCATGTCCTGCAGAACACAGCAGAGGGCACAATCGACCCAATAACACATGAGCATGGACGTCCTGAAGGACACTAAACAACTTCCTAAAGACAAACAGACAACTAAATAAATACTTTCTTCTTCCTCTTTCGGCTGTTCCCTTCTTTAGGAGTCGCCACAGTGAACTAACTTGTCTTCAAAATTGTTTTAACACCGGATGCCCTTCCTGACTCAACCACAGACCACCGAGCTACCACAGCCCTCTGTGTGGAGCAGAGAGTTGCTATCTAGGGTGCCCGGGGGAGCAGATGGTGGTGTTGCTCAATGGCTCAGACTGGAACAAATAAGGGTGGAGGCAGGTGTGGGTGTTTCACCGTTCCCATCCACATTTTGATGTTTTCTGTCAAGGGGGTTGCAACTGCGACCTTCCAATCACAGGCTTGCCTTCTGTAACCTCTGCACCACCCTCCTCCAATAAACCAACTAAATAAATACATTTGTTTTAATTAGAATGAAATGAAAAATCATATTAGCTAATTAGCTCCTAGTCCTTCAATCAGTTCTTCAAGCCTGTATTTCACTGGGCTGTGAACGTTGGTGACAAAGTTTTCAGTTTCCAAAACGTTCCAAAACGTTTGCAGGGGTTCAGCAGGGCACTGTTCTTGTGTCACTAGAGTTTTACGCAAGCTCAAAACATTTGTAAGACAAATTCCTCTTGAAATAATGCCAAGTGTGCTCCAGTGTTTCCCTTAGATCAGTTCCCTTGATGGGGCGCTTGTCTCAATTGGGTTTGAGGACATGACAGAGTTACATCCGTGTTGCCTGCCTGCTAGCTTAGCGCTATGTTGCTGTCGTTTTTTTATCGACAACCAGGGGTGTGTCATATCTGTGTTGCCCACCCATTAGCTTGGTGCTACGTTGTTGCTGGTAATTGTTGATGGGGTAAGTGGTACATTAGTAGCATTTTTGCCAACACATATGTATTGTGTCCTGTGCTACATCATTACTAACAGTTGTCAACCATGGGGAAAGAGTTCGCTTGTATAATGGTGATGGAAATTTGCGAGCAAATGGGCAAACACTGAGCTCAGAGGGTTTGTGACTAGCATGCCACGCAGCCACGTTTTGCACTGCCAATGTTTTAAATAGAAAATTATTTTGTCGCTTATGTCTAACCAAATTGTACACTTGTCAAACCACTTTTTGTTTCTACCCTGGAAGCCACCCCTTTATCATTTAATGAAGTTGAGCAGATTTGGACTATTTTTAACCTTTGATATGTATCCTCTGAGTGTTTTTAGACCCAGTCAGGCTTTAGACTCAGATGTTTCCTGTCTGCCATGCAGGTGTCAAGCTTCAGCTCCACCACTCTAAAATTGCTGAAACTAAAATGACAAGGCAGTGTTTCCCTTACCAGCAAGTCTCCAACAGTCAAAGCCCAGCAAAATTAAAACGGTTTGAGTCCTCATGAGAGTTTGAGTCCCGGTCTTAAACATTCTTAAATTTACTTCCCGTATAGAGCGGTGTCTTTTTTTGTTGATGTGCGACCTCCAGGAAAACTTTGGCCCAAATTTGGATAGACACGTATGCACCTGTGTCGTTTAGTTTTTTGTCTGTAACTCAGAGTTTTGCAAATGAAGTTAAACCCCTTCCTGTTACCTGAGTCTTGTGTGTGTTGACCAGCGAGGGGGTTGCAGCCACCATGGAGCTGCTGCGTGGACGCGGCAAAGGGGGAATCAGAGGTTCTGGGTTGCGTTCAGGTCTCTCCTCCAGGATCTGCCTCAGACGCTGCAGGTAGTACATCAGGGCCCAGTGCACGCCCTCCTCCGTCCAGTGCGGCTGCAGCAGGCAACGCAGCACCGCCACGTCGAAGTACGTGGCGTAGCGCGCTCGCTGGGCCAGAGACACCGGCAGACCGGCAGGGGCTGATATCCTGGAACAGAGGCGTATTCATGGGTTTCACTGACTGGACCAGACAGAAAAGTCTGTGGACATTTCATCCTGAGATCCGTCCTTACTTTAACAAGATACAAAACATTCTGTTCAGACTGATTATTCAAGGCTTAAGATTCTTTATTGCCATTCGCATCACATGTGGTACATGAGGTGTGTAGTGAACTAAGCCTCAGGTCAAAACCTGACCCTGAGGAGCTTCATGGGACAGGAACTGTTATTTCATTGATTTGAATCCAGAAATACAAATTAAGCTCATCCAGAGACTTTCTAATTGTATCCTGCACTAATCAATTGAAAGAACACTCTCTTTTATATTGTCATTACTATTTTTACAAATGTCTTGATAATCAAAAGGTGTTTAGTTCAAATCATTTTAAATGTTGAAGTGAACTACTCATTTTAAATCAACTGTGAAACAGTATTAATGATTTTTTAATCCTCATTCAAAGTAGAAATCAAGTTAATGTCTGTTACAAAGTAATTATGCATTTTTTGATCTTCTGTCTGAAATGAGAAGGAGTGATGTCGGTCAAAAGTCGGAGACAGTCGCAAACAAGTTTATTGGAATGAACTGTCATGTTTTTAAACCTATCAGACAGAAATAAGAAACTGGTGGCACCTGTTTCCTCCCACTTCGCCAAAACATTTCTCTGTCTGCTCCAAAACATTTCTCTGTCTGTTCTAAAACATCTCCGCTGTTTTTCTGACTTGTAGTAACCTCTTACGTCACTAAAACCACACCCCTGTTGGTTCTTTCAACCAATCAGGACTTCTCAAATGAACCGGAAACAGAACTCTTTGAATGTCGACACTTCCTAGTTCCAGTCAGTTCTGAGACATGAACCGGAGTTCTGAGAGCAGAACCGAACAGAAAAGTTCTGAGACATGAACCAGAACTCTGGGAGATGATCCAGAGTTCGGAGTTCTACACTTGAACCAAAGTTCTGGGAGAGAACAGAAGTTCTGAGTTCCTCTGAGTCTTCTCAGAGTCCCGTTAAGTTCTTCTGGTACTGATGAAGTTCGGCTGGAGTTCCTGTAGGAGCCACGATGCCTCGCTGTGACTCCACCCGGTGAAAACTTCATAACTTCTGAGGAGGTTTGTTCTGTGGAACTAGTTCTCACGACTTCTGCCGAGTCGCAGCCGCCCTGAGGAGACGCTGAAAGGTAGCGTACCAGGGACCTCTTGACCGCCGCGGATTCATCCTCCGCCAAAGGTAAAGAGTCGCCATGAGCTTCACTACCAGTGTACCGCAGGCGAACTGCGCTTCAAAGGAGCGTGTTGTTCTGGTCTACAGACATACATCCTCATCCATCTTTTTCCTCTCCATTTAAACTCCTTCATTTCCCATCTTTAAAACTCTTCTATCTTGCCAGTAATTAATCCAGATATTTTCAGAAATGTCTGTTGTATTTTAGTTACAAGTGAGAAATCATGGCCGTATGATTTCTCATTGTAAAACTCATTAATTAAGCTGTGTTATTGCCTTCAATGAGAATAATCAAGTGTACAATGTTGATGTTAAACTTTGATTCTGTTAATAAATGACCACATTCATTTTGATGGGTCAAAGAAAATTAACGTCTCATGTCACTGGTTTTTAGACCATCTCCCACACAGTATCTCTGTCACATATCTGTCAAGTAGCTCGAAAAAGAGAGAACCCGTCATTAAATATTGATTGTAGTGGAGCTCCTACGCTAACTAACCCTACATCACTACAGGTGGAACGAGATTGTGTAATCAAGGTCCCAGTTACACCAAAAATATAGCAAAAATATAAAGTATAAAAAGAAACAGAATACAAGTGTCTAAGATATATGCCAGTGTTTCCCTTAGATAACTTGCCATGGCGGGGCGCTCATCTCGTCCATGATTTTTGTTGAAGGGGCGTGGGGGACGGACGGACAGAGACACGTCCTGAGCTGTGCAGCGCATTATTTATACAGACAGTTTTTTTTTTTTTTTGGGGGGGTTCAGCATAAGGGTTCAGCATGAGGGAAGAGGCTGCCTTTAGCTTTTTGGCTAGCGCACCTGTATTGCGAGCCGCTTGTTTAGCGTTACATCAGTGCCGACAGGTGGTCAGGGTGGGGGTTCGGTAGACGGGGTGTTCGGTTCTGTTGATGGGGTGGGATGCCCCGCTTGTATAATGGTAGGGGAAACACTGTACGCTAAACACTAATAGTGTAAAATAATATGGTATATTAAACAGCAGCCCAAACATGAGCCTGTAGTGAGTAGACGGATATGAATATAATAACTTAAAGGCAAGAGATCAGCAGCATGGATAATCAGCAGCACAGATAAGGTAGACTGACGTAAAAACATGAAGTTTCTTTGCCTTTTACAGGTGAAGTCCACAAATTATTTGATTAGGGGGGAAATGATGAGCTATCTGGGATCAAAAATCTTGAAAATAACTATTTTCTAAATGCATAAGAGGAAACAATGTTCCTCCAAGACAGATTAGAATATCGTAATAATTACTGAACAATTCCTTCCGTCACACGTCGTTAACAACAAAACAAAGCAAATTGGACAAAACAAAAAATAGTTTTAATTCAACTCTGCCACTTTTGACCAAAACTCTCGAGATAACTTTGACATTGCTCCAGTTTGACTGGTTCATTACTTCATTGTTCATTGTTGCCTTCTTGTCTTTTTGCATTTATGTTTCGTACCATCATGAAAGGAATGATGGTGTAGTATGCCAGGTATGTCTTTTAGCAAAATATCTCGTGACCCACTGGACGGTTCGTAATGAAACTCCCAGGAAAAAAAAAACACTGGACGAACACTAACAACTAATTAAGGTTTGGAGTCACTCTGCTTCAAGATGGCTGCCACACAGGGCTTCATTTGTAAACCAATTGATGTCAGAAAGCAAATAGTGGGTGGGCCGGTGTACGTGCAAAGGCGGGTGCGGGCGGTCTGGGGGTACTCTCCCAGAAAATTAAAGTAGACGCGATTTCCTGCATTTTGGTGTATTTTAACAGGTTGTTAAGCATCTACGTTTACCTACATTTATAAACACTCCACTTCTGTCAAGCACCCGCCCCCTTACTTGACAGTTCAGAGCCCGACACTGTCCCTGCTCAGGTTGTCCAAAAACTCCAACCTCCTGCCCGTGTATGACCGCCTGGTTAGCTTGGCATTCACCCCAACCACTCTTTTAGGGGTGGAGATATTTTTAAGTGTAGAACTAGAAATGCTACTTGAAGAGGCAGCTCGTAAGTGGCTGTTGTGTTTAAAATGAGTGTTTATGTAATTATTTTCAGTTTACATATCCAATATAGGTTTTATACGTTCAAGGCAGTATTATTTGTTCACAACTTTAGCATTACCGTAATAAGCCTGAGAGTTACCTGATCCAAACAAACAGTTACCGGAACACACCCTGTCAAAATAAGAGAGTTTCCGGATCCTGTTCTTGCAGGATCCGGATCAAATTAAGCCCTGCTGCCTCAGTGAACTGACAGCAAACACCAAAATGGCTATAGAGCAGTCTTTTTTGCAGAAACTAATCTATTTACTGTAGTCCCTCATTTATCTCAGGGGATCCGTACCCTGAAGCCCCGCGATAAGTGAAAAACCACTAAGTAGGGATAGTAGTATATAGTAAGTAATAGTTATATATATATATATATATATATATATATATATATATATATATATATATATATATATATATATATATTTATTTATTTATTTATTTATTTATATGTAATGGCATTTTAAGCCCTTCCCACACTCTTGCAATATTCTAAACAATGTTTCTAAACTCTAAATGCTCCAAAAGAGCACAGCATGTCATGATTTCAGCTCCCTGCCTCCTCTGCTCTTTGTCACCTGCAAGTGCCCTTGGCCACGTCCACTTCTTCGTTTTGCATGGTTAACAGCTGATCAGCTGCGGCAGGAAGTTTATCCTGCAGTGTGAGCTGCACAAATGTGCAGCAGGTGCTAAATAATTCAAAACTATTTATTTTAAATAAAACTTTCATGCCAATCGTGTGTCATGTCCAATCTTATTTTGAAAAACCGTGATAGAGCGAGTCCGCGATAAACGAACCGTGAAGTAGCGAGGGACTACTGTACATGTAAGTTGGTGTGGTAAATGGACCGTACTTATATAGCACCGTTCTATCTTATCAAAATACTCAAAGCGCTTTACAGCACGATCTGTGCCCTCATTTCCCTCCACACACACATTCATACAGCACTCTACTAGATCTCTGCAACGACTAATCAGTACTTTATCACATTCATACACTGATGGGACACACATCAGAGGCAGTGAGGGGTTCTGTGTCTTGGCCCAGGAACACTTCAACATGTGACTATGGTGAATCGAACCCCCGACTCTCCCATTGGAGGATGGCTGCTCTAATCACTCAGCCACAGCTTCCCCTGTGTTAGTAGCTGAGAGTCATTCTACTGGTTTGTGCTTAAAACTTTGACTTCCAAAGCAGTTGGTGTTAAACTTAACAGAACAGATCTCAGATGCTCCAAGACAAATATTTTTCAGTGCCATCATGTCCCAGTTTCTCCTGTTTTATCAGCCCACTCTCGCCACAATGATTGATTAATAATGCATCAAAGGAGGGTAAACAAGGGCAGAGCCCCCCTTCAGCATCATCGGGACACAGGGAGCCTTAACCTACGTGAGTCCACTATAAATAAGCTCCACTGAAGGTCAGAGCTTGGCGTGCTGCAGCGCAGAGAGAGCACTCTGTGAGGAAACATATTGAAACCATGAGTGGGGGGTCAGTGATGGAGTAAAGCGTTTCATCTTGCCTCGGCTGTGATGAACCGAGCGGGGCTGTCGATAGCTACATGAATCGGTCATAGTGGGGGGGGGGGGCAGCGGAGAGAGAGAGGGGGAGGCTGGATCGTGTTCCTCTGCCTACTGCTGTTGTGTCACGTTGCCAAGGAGACCAAGTGACGACAGCCACTCCGGGACATCTGAGAGGCAGCGGCCGACTGCACGCAGGAGGAGACGGAGAGAGATGCAGCAGCCGGTGGTTGCCAAGGAAACTGCCTCAGCATCAGCAGTGCTCAGAGGTGTGCGGATTGCGGCGCCACGGGATGAGCGAGCTGCATTAATCACCTCATGTCGGAAAAGATCGGAACCGGGCAGGGGCAGGGGAGCGGAGTAAAAATACCCTTTCAAATGGAAAAAACCAAAACGCATCTTTGTGATCATGTTAAAGAGAAATCTGCTGTCTGCTCGTCAGCTGTGGTCCAAACCCTCCTGCTGCCCTTGGGTCAAATGATCCACAAAGCTTCAGTTTTAAGACTGAGGCCTCAAGGGCAGAAGGAGGGTTAAAGCGAGCCACGTTTTACTCTGGGCTCCCCTCAATCCCACAGTTTAAAATGGACTAAAGAAAACAGATCATCTGTGTGAGCTGCAGAAAGGATAAACCTTTTCTCTTTATGGATTAGCATGCGACGTGCAGCAGATAAGAGGCGGGGTTTACGCTCGCTTTGATTCTCCACCGGATGCTGGATGTCAAAATGTTTCTGTCAAGATCAGCTGAGATGAGAAATACATTTTCTTCCAACACACTAAAGCTCGAGACCCAGAAATATTTGTTGGTAGATTGGAAGGATTCAGTTCAAAATACATCTGAACACCTTTAATGTGTGACAGAGCAAAATTATTTGAAAACAAGAGAAATTGAATTTCCTGTGAAAATGCAGTGTTACCGCTTATTGCTGAAGAATTTGCTGAAAAACAGCTGAAATTAGCTAAAAAAAAAAAAACATGCTGAAATGTAGCTGAAATGAAAGAACAAGCCTAAATTAGTGGAAGAAAACAGAAAGAACAAATATTTACTGCATGATATTTAAATAAACAGAAATTACTACAAAAATAAGAAAATTAGCTAAAAAAGGCTGAAATTAGCAAAAAAAAAAAAAGGCTGAAAAGTGGCTGAAAAGGCAAAAAGAAGATTGAATTACAAGAAGTAAGTGAAGAGAGCATAATTTTGCTGAATTAGGCTGAAAAAAGTTGAAATGAGTGCAAAAAATGTGGAATTAGCTGAATTTTTTTAAATTAGTATAAAAAAGCTAAATAATAGCTGAAATAACCAAAACAAGTTGAAAGGAGCATAATGAGCTAAAATTAGCAGAAATAATTCAGTTAGACTAAAAGTAGCAGAAATTAGCACAAAAAACTTTAATTTAACTGAAAACAACTGAAATTAGCTAAAAAATGCTAAAAAGGGTAGCTGAAAAGGTAGAACAAGCTTAAATTAGCAGAAGAAAGAATATGTTTGCACAATTAGGCTTAACGAAGCAGAAATAAGCACAAAAAATTGAACTTAGAAAAAAACTGAAACTAGCAACAAAAATCAGCTGAAAAGTAGCTAATAAAAGCAGAAAGAAACTGAAATTACTGGAAGCAAGGGAAGAGCGAATATATTTTTGCTGAATTAGACTGACAAAAATTAAACGAGTATAAAAAATGTGGAATTGGCCAAAAAAGCTAAAATTAGCATAAAAAACAGCTAAGTAGTAGCTTAAATAGCAGAAAATGCTGAAACTTGCATAAATACGCTGAAAGGAGCAGAAAGAAATTAGAAGCCCAAAAATATAGTTAGCAGAAAGAATCTAAAAGGAGCACAAAACAGCTGAAAAAAAACCCAGTTGCAATTAGCTGAAAGTAGCTGAAAAATGTTAAATTTGCAGAAGGAAGCTAAAAGGAGCTGAACCAGAACAAAATGTAAAAGGAGCAGTAAAAGGTTGTAAACAGATCTAAAGATGTGAAGGGTGTAAAATGAGCTCAGTTCATTTTCTATGAAAAAAATGGCAGTAAAGGCTAAATATTTCAAAAAGCTAAAGTTGCATCAATAGCAAAAGTCATGGCAGGATTGTCCTGAAAGAGCTGAACGTTTTAATATACGAGTTGTTGAAATAGCGCAAAAAATTGTGGAACAAGAAAGATGCTGAAAAACGTACGGAAGAAAAATGGATCACAATATTAATTTATTTTACAAAGATGTGCTAAAATGGTTAGGAAAAGATTTATTGGTAAGCTGAAAGAAACTACAGTAATTATCCTTGCATTGTAGTACCTGGGGGATTGTGGTGCAACAGTGATACAAGAGCTGGTGACAGCTGAGAAGTCTGGACCAGTTAAATCCAGTCTAGCTATCATTTGGTCATCAGACATTAAGCCTTAAGGACCTGAGAGAAGAAGTATGTCGTGGTAGAATAGAGTAATGGCTTTTAGTTAATTTATTACAAAGTCTGGCAGAAAATCATAAGAAATCCTGATGCTTTTCAAATTAAATTACACTCCTCACTTTTTCTTGGAAGGGCTTTTGGCAGGTGGGGGTTGTTGGGACGTGCCACCTTTATCGATGGAGTTGCCACGACGACAGCTTTGCTCTGCAGCGGCAGGAGAGGAGGAACCTGATTGGGCAGCTTCACAGACCACCTGGAAGCCCTTTGGGTTGGAGATGGACAGATATGAGAGGAGGCAGACATAAACTTCTGTTGATTAAAGACTCTGGTTTCTGTCCACACCACAGATGACCTCGCGGTGGGGGAAAACAAACAAACAAACAAAAAAAAAAACACTGCTGCTCCAACAAATCAACACAGGAAGCAAAATCAGATTGAAAAAAAAAAAAAAAAACTTCTCTGTCGAAAACACTAAATGTAGCAACACAGAATCTAAAACTAGCAAAGATGTAACTTTTATTAGCAAAGCAGATGCTAAAATGAGCAAAACTGTAGCTATAATTAGCAAAACAAATGATGAAACTGGCAA